TGTTTCATATAAATATCACATTTCATAAAATATTTAGTTATCCAGCTTTTTCTCATAATTTAAAGGTATGTAAGTTTCTTTTTTGAAGTACTTATTGAAGCTACAGTTAACAATTTGCCTTTGCAACTCTGCAGCTGGCAGATTTTCCAGTTTTGACCAATGCTGTATTGCCTGGTAGCCAGTCTGTTAGCTGTCTCGGCATTCGTTCCGTCTCTTCGTGGATGGGTTACTGAACTGAGCTTGCTTTTAGTAGTTGGTTCTGATGTTTTTCTCTTTTAAAAAGATTCTGTACTGCTCCAGTACTGTGGTTCGTAATTGCAAATTCTTCACAGGATATCCAGATTGATCCCTTATCTCCTATCCTAATGCTTCTCAATACCTTATTTTGTGCTAGAGAAAAAAAAAACAGGTGTCTTCGTTCTGGTAATGGTACTTTTGCCAACAGAATGGCTACACGTTGCTGTGGCTACTGCTATTCCTTGGGGAAATTACTTAAAAAGTAGGCTGAAAATGTTTTGATGCAATCTGGCACCCAGACACACTGGTGTCAATTTGGTGTCGGGTGGAGTTAGCGGTTTAGCAAATCGTCGTAGTCCGAGACAGGTTTCAAAGCCTAAAAGTCAACTTCGACGGGTTTTTCGTGGAATCGATCGGCCAGTCGTGGCTCAACTCACTTTGGATTCATTTTATGATTTTTTAAAGCTAATTTCATTTTGACCAGTGCATTCCTTTTTCAGTTGATCACGGCTTGGATTCGTGGTCCACAGTTACGTTCACTGTAACGCTTTTTTCAATCTTTGGGCAAGGCGAATTTAGGTTCGTAAAATTCTGCTACAATTTTTTAATTTGCTTGAAATCCGTATCTTATTTTTTAGGGCTGTATGAGGATTGGATGTCGTAAAATTCTTCGCCCTCGAGGCATTTCAGTAGTATAGAAATTTTACAGTTTGCTTCGTTGATTTTAGGCAGTGTGAATGGGAATGATAAAATCTGAAAGTACTGAGAAATTATATTTAAGTTTTTGAGCGTCAGAGTATTTTTTAGTGAGGATCATCCTTTTTGTGGACATGTTAAGGTTCCGTTTCTGCTTCAAAAGTCAATAACTTCTGTCTTAAATCTGTTGTTGTTGTGTTACCGATAGTTTTTGTGCATTTTGTGCTGCAGTAGTTGCATGAACGGGTGTTGCCGA